GACTAATGGGTGTGGGGGGTGAAGGGGGAGATGGGCATGGTGGAGGGCACTTGTGGGGATGAGCTCTGTTATATGGAAACCAACTTGACAATGAACTAGTTGTAATAAATAAATAAATAAATAAATAAATAAAACCACAATTACAAGAATAGTAGCTTGGACTGAAAAAAAGCATAGAAAACACCATAGAATCCCTTTCTGCAGAGATAAAATAACTTAAGTCTAGCCAGGCCAATTTTAAATATGCTATATCCGAGATGAAATCTCAAATGGATTCCATGATGGTGAGGATGGATGAACCAGCAGAGAAATAATGATATAGAAGATAAAATTATGGAGAATAATGAAGAAAAATAAAGAAATGTCTTAAATACATACTCCAACTTACACCAAAGGGAGCTGGAGGAAAAACAGGAATAAAACACCAAAACCAGGAGAAGAATGGAGATAATAAAGACTAGAGCAGAAATCAATGACAATAAAAAAAAAGTACAACAGATCAATGAAAGCAGGAGATTGTGGTTTTTTCTTTTATTTATTTTTATTTTTTTTTTTTTTACAAATAGTTTATTGTCAAGTTGGTTTCCATATAACACCTAGTGTTCATCCCCACAAGTGCCCTCCTCCATGCACAAGGAGATTGTTTTTTTAAGGAATTGAAAAACAATTGAGAAATCCTTAGCCAGATTTGTCAAAGTGAAAATGGTAAGGACCGAAGTAAATAAAATCATGAATGAAAGAGAGGTTACAACCAACACAATGGAAGTACAAATTTAAAAAAAAATGAGACTACTATGAGCAATTATATACCAACAAATTGGGAAATCTGGAAGAAATGGATAAATTACTAGAAACATATAAACTACCAAAACTGAAACAAGAAGAAATAAAAAAATTGAACAGACCCATAACCAGTAAAGAAATTGAAGCAGTAATCAAAAATCTCCCAACTAAAAAGACCCCAGGGCCAGATGGCTTCCAAGGGGAATTCTACCAAATTTAAAGATTTCTTTTGTGGTTGTTACAGGAAATAAGAATGGAAGGAAAATTTCTAAACTCATTCTATAAACCTAGCATTACCTTGATTAAAAACCAGACTATGAACTCCCTAAAAGGGAGAATTACAGGTCAATTTCCCCAATAAGCATGGATGCAAAAATTCTTAACAAGATACTAGCAAACTGAATCCAACAATACATTAAAATAATTATTCACCACGATCAAGTGGGATTTATTCCTTGGCTTCAGGGTGGTTCTATATACCGAAATCAGTCAACATGATATACCACATTAATAAAAAAAAGAAAGACCAAACATCCTCTCAATAGATGTAGGAAAAGCATCTGAGAAAAATACAGCATCCTTTCTTAAAAAAAAATCAGGGATGAAAGGAACATACCACAACATCAAAAAGGCCATATATGAAAGATCCACAGCCAATATCATCATCAATGGGGGAAAACTAAGAGGGAAAACTAAGACATTAGGGAAAACCCCTAATGTCAGGAACATGACAGAGATGTCCACTCTCACCACTGTTGTTCAGCATAGTGTTGGAATCCTCAGCAAACAGACAACAAAAAGAACTAAAAGGCATTCAAATCAGCAAGGAAGAAGACAAACTTTTACTCTTCAAGGACATGATGCTCTGCATGGAAAACCCAAAGACTCCACCAAAAAACTGCTAGAATTTTTGTATGAATTCAGCAACATTGCATTTGATATAAAATCAATGTACAGAAATTGGTTGCATTTCTATGAACCAATAATGAAGCAGCAGAAAGATAAATCAGTGGATCAATCCTATTTTCCATTGCACCAAAAACCATAAAATACCTAGGAACAAACATAACTAAAGTGGTAAAAGATCTGTATGATGAAAACCCTAACAAGCTTATGAAAGAAATTGAGGAATACACAAAGAAATGGAAAAAAAAATTCCATGCTCATGGATTAGAAGAAAAAAATAATGTTGAAATGTCTATACTATCCAAAGCAATCTACACAATGTAATCCCTATCAAAATGGCACCAGCATTTTTCACAGAGCTAGAACATATAATTCTAAAATTTGTGTGGGATCAGAAAAGACCCAAAATAGCCAAAGTAATGTTGAAAAAGAAAATCAAAGTGGGAGGCATCACAATTCCAGACTTTAAGTTATATTACAAAGCTGTAGGAATCAAAACAGTGTGGTACTGACACCAAAAGAGACATGTTCGTGAGTGGAGCAGAATAGAAAACCCAGAAATGGATTCAAAACTTTATGGTCAACTATTCTTCAACAAGGCAGAAAAGAATATGCAATGGGAAAAAGTCTCTTCTACAAATGGTATGCAGAAGACTGAAACTGGATCACTCCCTTATACCATAACAAAAATAAATTCAAAATGGATGAAAGACCTAAATGTGAGACAGTAAACCAACAAAATACTAGAGAAGAATACAGGCAGCAACCTCTTTGAAGTTGGCCATGTAACTTCCTATTACACACGTCTCCAGACACTAGGGAAATAAAAGCAAAAATGAACTATTAGGACCTCATCAAGATAAAAAGCTTCTACACAGTGAAGGAAACAGTTAACAAAAGTAAATGTAATCTATGGAATAGGCAAAGATATTTGTAACTGACATATAAGATAAAAAGCTAGTATTCAAAATCTATAAAGAGGTTATCAAAGTCAACACCCAAAAATAAATAATCTAGTTAAGAAATGGGGAGGGACATGAAGAGACACTTTTCCAAAGAAACCTACAAATGGCTAACAGATACATGAAAAAATGGTCAACATCACTCATCATCAGGGAAATAAAAATCAAAACCACAATGAGATACCACCTCACACCCATCAAAATAGCTAAAATTAACAACTCAGGAAACAATAAATGTTGAGGATGTGGAGAAAGAGAAACCCTCTTACATTTTTGGTGGGAATGTAAACTGGTGCATCCACTCTGGAAAACAGTGTGGAGGTTCCTCAGAAAGTTAAAGATAGAACTACCAGCAATTATACTACTAGGTATTTATCCAAAGGATACAAAAATATTTGTTCAAAGGGGCACATGTACCCTGAAGTTTATAGCAGCACTATCAACAATAGTCAGATTATGAAAAGATCTCAAATGTCCATTGAATGAAGAATGAATAAGATATATAATATAAATTAATATACATATATAATTGTATATATTATATATATAATATATATTACATATAAAATATGGACTATTACTGTCATCGAAAAGAATGAGATATTTTTAAAGTCATTAGAAATCTTGTCAGTTGCAATGACATAAATGGAACTATAGTGTATTATGCTAAGTGAAATAAGTCAGTTAGAGAAAGAAAAATATCATATGATTTCTCTCATATGTGGAATGTAAGAAAGAAAACAGATGAGTGGCGCCTGGGTGGCTCAGTCGGTTAAGCGTCCGAATTCAGCTCAGGTCATGATCTCACATTCGTAGGTTCGAGCCCCACGTCGGGCTCTGTGCTGACAGCTAGCTCAGAGCCTACAACCTGTTTCAGATTCTGTGCTCCCTCTCTCTCTGACCTTCCCCTGCTCACGCTGTCTCTCTCAGAAACAAACAAACAAATAAATAAAACATTAAAAAAAGAAACAAAGCAAATGAACATAGGGGACAGGAAAGAAAAATAATATAAGATAAAAATAGGGAGGCAAACCCATAAGAAATTCTTAACTATAGAGAATAAATTGAGGGATGCTGGAGGAGAAGTGGGGGCGTGGGCCAAATGAGTGATGGACATTAAGGTGGGCACTTGTTGGGATGAGCACTGTGTGTTGTATGTAAATGATGAATCACTAAATTCTACTACTGAAACCAATACTACATTATATGTTAACTAACTTGAATTTAAATAAAATCTTGGAAGAAAAAAATTTGAAGGTGAAGGATGAAACCATTTAATTGTTGATTTGGAATTATTACCCAGAAAAACCTTGGTTTGTGAGCATAATTCATTCTGGAAACATGCTTGTAACCCAAAGCACTTGTATATCAAAGCAAATTTCAACAACCATTGGCTCAGTTGTGATCATGTGACGTTTGGCATCATGTACTGTTTGTATTGCAAGGCATTGCTCACTTACCAAATTAACATTTATTAGAAATTGTTGCTCATCTTGTGGAATATTCACAGAACAAGTTATCCAAGGTTCTATTGTATTTGTTTTTTCAGGAACTAACTGGATTACATCTATAACTTATACTTGGCCATGATTTTATTTTACTTTATATTTCTTATGAGAATATGTCATATATTTTCTATTCTGAGACGTTTCTAGGAAAATCTTTTTTTATGGTACTGAACGTATTACTTTAAATCTTTCCTTGCAAAATTAAAAGTGTAGTTTTTATAGTTTTACTGTCAGTTTTAAATTGTGTTCACATGTTTTCGAACACAGTTAAGTTAGTATAAGTTGCTTCAATTAAAGCAGTATAATTTAAAACAGAAAATTTATATTTTTATTTGTATGAAAAGTATAGTACAATTTATACTCTAGTGATGTTTATGAATCTTAGTTATTAGATTTGACATTATTTTGTAGTTACTATTCATTATTTCATGGGAGACACCCACATTTGATCCCCTGTTACAATCAATGGCACATTTATTAAAGTTTGGTGTGTATCCACTGAAAGACATATTTTTTCTGTATAAAACCACATGAACCAAATATCAAATATATAACTTTGCTAAAATTATATTATGAGTTAATCAGTTTGTAAATGTAAAAACTTATTACACTCATTGTACAGTCAAATAAACAAAAAGAAGTTTGATCTTGATAAATGTTTAACGATATTTTTTACACATCTTTGTAAAGTGTTCACTCTGTAACAAAGAAATTATTGTAAGCAAAATTGAACTTGTAAAAGCCCCCATGTTAGTGATTGCAAATGAATCTAGATATCAATTAACCTTAATAAAGCTCTTGTATTTTTTAATTAAAAGTAACCAATGTATTTGGAAGTACACGCAGATCCACCTTGATAAAAATCTTTTGTATCATTACTGCACATTCATTCCATCTTCAGGAATTTAAGAATCTCTTTGGTCTCCTTTGCCTTGTGAAACATTTCAAAATCCTAAAAATAATTAAAATTAACTTGTAATATCAATGCTGATAATCTCCACTTATGAAGTAATTAAATTCAAGTGTCTAGGTAAATTTGCTAATTATCTTGCCTGGGCCTTTGCAAATGTCTACCAGCCAAGTTAGTTAAAAGAATTTCCCCAAGGTATCAGTCATTTCATGCTATAATATATGACAAAAATACTGTGTACCTCAAAACAAGCAGCATGATATACTTTTCTTTTATGTTTTTTTTTTTTTCATAATGAACTACACATTGCCTTATCTTCAGGAACATATTTAAGTTATTGTGTAAATGAAGAAACCTTGCCCTCACAGCTCATAAATGTATATAACCTTAAAATATGAAATGAAAATAAAATAGAAATGGACATTTATTCTTACCCCACAATATTCTTGGCCATTGAATATCTGAGGTGGTAGAGCCCTAGGGGTGGAAACTTTAGTCCTCATTTCCTGAAGTATTTTCAAACTCACAGAAATATCTATTAATTCATACTTTATTTTGTAAGTATCTAAAATTCTGGTAACTTCTTCCTGTCTCTGCTTCACCTAGATAGACAAAGAAATGGAGAAATGGAAAGATGTTAATCAACTGGCCCCAATGTTTTATGTTTTATATTTATTTTCTCTATCTATTATGCTATGGAAGAGGAATATGTTTTAATAGTGTGATGTTTTTTTGAGGAGCAAAATTAGATTATTTTCTTGTGATAAACACGTACACATACACACATATATAGTATATCTGTAATATGTCAATATGTTTAATATGTATATGAAGAAATACAGTAAGGTGTCAGTGAGAGTTGAAAATCTCTGATGCGCTATAAATATTTACCATATTGATTTCAAACTGCATATGAAATGGTATGAACATTCCGCTAACAGTTGAAGCACACATTTCAACTCATCACTGCATTAACTTATGCTAATAACTAAAGTAGGTCTGTGTAGGAAATGGATAGGATGCCAGGTTTTTGAATTTGAAGGAACAAACTGCATGTTCTAAACAATAATAGGAGACTATGCCTAAGTGAGGAGATAAAATCCACAGAATGAGAAAATAAATCAGAGGATTAAGCTTTAAAAAAAGGTCGGTAAATAAAAGTTGTCAGTTCTTGCTATATCCTCCTATATGAATTCTTAGATTTGTGTTATCTGTTAAAAGGATGTATATCCACTCTTATTGTCTTTTCCCCTGAAACACTACCACTAAAATAAAATGGAAATAATTGGTTATCTTTTAAACATAGTTTAGGGGCATCTGGGTGGCTCAGTTGGTTAAGCGTTCGACTTCAGCTCATTTCATGATCTCGTGGTTCATGAGTTCGAACCCCACGTCAGGCTCTGTGCTGATAGCTCAGAGCCTGGACTCTGCTTAGAATTCTGTGTCTCCCTCTCTCTCTGCCCCTCCCCCACTCATTCTCTCTCTCTCTCTCTCTCTCTCAAATATAAAATAAAACATACAAAAATTAAACATAGTTTATAAGTACATTTTTTAAATAACTGTAACATAAATCCTGAAATTTGAGTTTTCTACATTTTAACATAACAATGTTGGGCAATTTTGCCACATAAAATATGTGATGCTAGAATAAGAAAATATATGTAAAATCAATTTGACAAGTACAAACCCCAGCTTATTCAATTATGACTTCTGTGAAAGTGCAAAATATAATCCAGTCAGGCTTAGAAAACCCTGTCTATTTCCAACTGATAGGGAAGAAGTCTGAAATTCCATCATGCAACATTTCTACCTTCTGAGGCTCATTAGTCTTCAAAAATTTCACAAGCATGATGCATGTGATTTGTCACATTTTTATAGTGCTTTTTCAATATTTTTTTCCAGAGGAACCTCATTATGAGAACAATTGCTTAAACTAGTGCTAGTCTGAGTGTGATTTATAAGACCAGCATCATCCGCCTTATCCCATTCCAAAACTATAGAATCTGGGAATGACTCCCAGGAATGTTTTAACAAGCCCTCCAGATGATTTTTATGTTATGGTTTGAGAGACAGACCAACATTTGGCTGAGTCTTCTGCTGCATCCATTATGGTCCTCATTGATTCCACATCATTACTTCTTACAGAATCTTAGTATTATATCCAATAACATAAATTACAATGTTAAACAATAGTGAAAAGGCCCATAATTTTGTTTTTAAAACTGCTTATTGTTATTGTTGTTTCTTAGTACCCAGCTGAAATCCCTAATCTAGTTGTAAAGGCTTTATTTATGCGAAGCAATGCACTATTTGTAGGCTGAGATTGAATCTCATTGTTCCTTGCATCTATCACAGTGTCTGACATACAGGAGTGTGATGAATGTTTGTTAGCCATTTATAATCAATTCTAAATTCTTCAGTTTTTATGATTTTCCAAAAACTTTGCAGAATGAGGTTCTTAGACATAAAACAGTTCTTGTGTAGCTGAGCCAATGTGATAACCACTAGCCAGCTACATGTGACTATTGAATACTTGAAGTGTGGCTTGTCCAAAATGAAATGTCCTATAAGTACAAAATACATACTATATTTTGATGACTTAATATGAAAATATATAACATCTCTTTTTAAATATTGGTTACATGTTGCAATGAAAACATTTTGTATATTTTCTATTAAATAAAATATATTAAAATTAATCTCATCTCTTTTTTAAGTCATTTCTAGAAAATTTAAAATTACACAAGTGGCTCACAATATATGGCTGTTGGAAACCACTGTTACTCAATATTCCTACAGCGTGGTTCAAAATAATTAATCTAAACTGTAATCTAAGACATGTTTGTCCATGCAAATACACATTCTTCTTAGAAATTAAGTTTGTCTTTTTAAGGTTACCCTGTTTTCTCTGAGGATTCTAGCCATCTACTCACTGTTATTTTCCCTCTCCTATCCTAAACAGTATTCTTTATTTCTTCCATCTCCCATCCTAAACATCCTAAAAAACAAGTTTCTTTATCTCTTCCATTTGAAACATGTGCAAAATTACTGGAAATACCGAAGTTGGCTGAGTTCAGGACCCATAAACCTCCCAAAATGGTCAGTTCTTAGAGAACAACTAGGGTAAGGGCAATAACTACATTCTCTGTTGTCTCCTGCACCTTCCATCCCTGAAAACCTAGAGAGGAAGGAGCTGAAAAATGAAAGACAATAAGATAGTTATGTCTTAACACAATCATGAAGTCCCCAACTAGCATGTCTTCACTCTAGTCTTTTGCCTGCTAAGGCCCTTTTCTTTCCGCTCACCTCTCTAGACCCTGACACGCTGGTATAATAAACTTTAATGGAGCTCATTGTTTCCACTTAAAGGCTACTTTGCAGAAGTAACTCAGAGTAAGTCACTTGATTACCACCTAAGGCTGAACTATTCAAAGTCCCCAAACCTGGGAGTGCCTTTTTCCAAGACTGTTGCTAAGAGTATTTGGCTTGTATGCACCAGATTGGCCAGGAAATTAGTACCTTTGTGACGCAGGAACGCTGGAGCATCATGATGGCCAGCATGAGGGAGAGGAGATGAACTCTGGGGTGATAAATTCCTGTTAAAGCCTCTTTACTCATTGGCGGCGAGGCAAAAGGGATGGAAGAATTAATGGTCTCCGTATTCCTGCTACTTCTCCCATCTCCCTCCTTGGAGATGGTGGTAAACATGAGCTTTTTTGTCTGGCAACCACAGACGCAAATGTAGGGCTGAGACACCTGTGGGAGAAAATGACCAAAATACAATGTGATAGTAAATAAAGAGATAAATTAAAACTTGTATTCCCTAAGTTTGTAGTGACAGAGCAAATGGCACCAATGCTTATTTGGACAGGAATATCCCGGACCACCATAGCAGTCTTTGATGATTTTTGTCTTAGTTGGAGGAGATGACTCCTTTCCCTCTCCTGTGTCCACTCCCTTCTTTTTTTATTAATTTTTTCTAATGTTTTATTTTTTAATTTTGAGAGAGAGAGAGATAGAGACAGTATGAGTAGGGAAGGGCCATAGAGAGAGGGAGACACAGAATCTGAAACGGCTCCAGGCTCTGAGCTAGCTCTCAGCACAGAGCCCGATGTGGGGTTCGAACCCACAAACCGTGAGATCATGACCTGAGCCGAAGTTGTACGCTTAACCGACTGAGTCACCCAGGCGCCCCCTGACATTTAAAAAAAAAAATTTTAAGTGTCCCTCCCTTCTTGAAGACAGTAAGCTTTCCTTCTGGGTTTTGGCCCCCATTTTTTGTTTGTTTATGTAATAGTGGGTTCAATAGTCGCTGACTCTTCTAACACTTCCTCCGTCCACCTGGTATAAAAAGATGACTTTTTGCTTTAATGTCCACTTCCTCTTAAATACATCCATAGCTCATTATTCTAGCATTTATTTTCACGTAGTTGAAGATAGCGATAATATTTATAGGATTTCTTTGGCTTGACAAAATTGAGCAATGGAAATTGACAGTAAAGAACCAAAGAACTTCAGCACCAGTTTTTCTGCCAAACAAATCTGGATTCCATAGTTCTACCTCTTGATAACTATAGATCTTGGGCAAATTACTTCCTTCTGAATGTCAATTTCTCAGTCGTTAGTGTATGAATGTGAATGGTGACGCCTACTTGACAGCATCATTATCAGGATTAAATGAATTGAGTATGTAAAAGTGTTTGGCACTTGGTCTGACATGTCTGTAGTTCAAAAAAATGAAAATTATTATTAAAAATTTTTAATGTTTATTTTTGAGAGAGAGACAGACCCCAAGAGAAGTGGGGGAGCAGAGAGAGAGGGAGACAATCTGAATCAGGCTTCAGGCTCTGAGTTGTCAGCACAGAGCCTGACTCGGGGCTTGAACTCAGGAACCGTGAGATCATGACCTGAGCTGAAGTCAGATGCTAAACCAACTGAGCCAGCCAGGCACCTCTAATAATTATTATTGATGATAAGTATCAGGCTGCTTGCATGATGTTTGGGAACAAGCTTATCAATATGAATAAGAAGAAGCATTTACCTTCAAGTTAGTCACAGAGTGATAACTGATAAAGTGAGATATATGCAATGTAGAGAAATCTAAATCAGGTTAAGTGGGTCAAGGAAGGTATCCCTGAATAAGTGAGAGCTAATCTGAAACTTGAAGGATGTATAGAATGCCAGGAAATTATAATAGTAAAGAAGTTTTAGGTAGCAGGAACAGTCATGAAGCAATGTGGTAACTGGAGCTTTGGGAGCAAGTGGAGGAATAGAAACTGAGGAAATAAATAGGAAAACGCATATAGGCCTTCGGGTTTTATGCTAGATTTTGACTTTTAGTATTTTAAGGCTGTTTCTTGTTTTATAAAAATGTGGAAAATCTTAACTTGCAGATTTTCTCTGAAGATTAAATAAGTGGAGATATTACCTAAGACCACCTTTTCTTATGAGCCACTCAATAAATTATATCTCTTATTATCAATCCATGGATGATTAAACAGGATTTATCTCTTGGTGTGAAAGGTGGATCAATCTAGCACGTCAAGGGGATTTGAAAGGAGGCAAGATTGGAAGCACTGGCAACAATACAAAAATGAAATGACAATAGTGAAAGGCAAAGATATTTAGAACAGGGGACTGTTAGAGTTTGGTTGGATATAAGAGTGAGAAAGGCAAAGGAGATGGATATAACCAATGAAAAAGCCTAGGTTAGGAACAATTTGAGATCTCCATTTTCTTTAAGTGTTCTTTTGTGGTAGCGGTGGTAGAAAATCCTTTTTTTTTTTTTTTTCTGTTGTTTTCATTATCTGTCTGGTGTGAGAGCGTGACTTATTTTCTCATTTTGCTGTGAGCTATTACTTTGGTGCCAAGCCAAATTAATGCACTATTTCTTAGAATAGGCTATCTTTGACAACCTAAAATAAACTGGCTGGTATAACATACAAAATTCAAGTTAACTATTATATAGGATGTTTGTGATAATTATTTTGAAGTAATTATTTGTAAAAAAAAAACTGTACTGATAATTGTAGCTGAAAGTATTAACAATGTAGATGTTGATGCTTCACAGCCTACTTGGGCAGTTTATATCTGAGTTCAAAAGCATTCTAAAGAATGGGCCAGAAACTTGTGGGATTAGAAAAATATATTCTAAGGAAAGTAGTATACTTTTTCTTGTACTTTTTATATGTGACTTTATATTTATTTACTTACTTATTGTTTTTTTTAACTTGTAGCAAGAATTACTATCAAAGTCCACTCATTGAGCCAGAGACCCTTGTGGTGTTACCAAAAGACTTGCCCCTCATGTAGCATGGTACCTATTCTTCTGAGTTCATCGGCTAGCCAGTGGCCTCAACTCCAAGCTCTAACAATGTGCATGACTTATTGATCATACAAATAATACATGAATTCATGCACATTGTAGAAGTCAAAACCATATGGAAATATAGAGAGTAAAAAGCAAAATTACACTATCACCTTCTCTTTGCAATCCTCCCAGAGGAAACCACTATTTAACAGTTTGATTTGTATCATTTTTCACAAACATGATGACATTTATTAAATCGGTTATAAGGGAGAAAAAGTCACTTATAACATGAAATTTAAGTACACAGTCTACTTTTTAAAAAAGTATGGAATGCTTCATGAATTTGCGTGTCATCCTTGCACATAGGACATGCTAATGTCCTCTGTTTTGTTCTGATTTTAGTATATACACTGGCAAAGTGAGCATAACTACATAGGCTTTGAAGTGAGGCTGCCTCGGTTCAAACCCAGACTCTACCACTTACAACTGTGTAATACAGTGCATCCTATATAACTTCTCTGTGCCTCTATTTTCTCATGTGTGAAATGATAATTATAATATCTGTTTTTATAGAGATGCTGTCAGGGTTATACCACTTAGTGTATGTGAAGTGTTAGAAAAGTGCCTGGCACATATACATGATGAAATTGTATTGCATATGTTGATCTTAAAATTCCATTCTATTTGTACAGATAAAGGCAATATAGTGTACTGATTAAGTAAGTGGATTCTAAATCCACTTGCCTGGTGCAAATACTAGTTCCATCATTTACTATGTTTGTGAACTTCAACAAGTACATAACCTTTTTCTGTCTTTGTTTCTTTTGTAAAATTCAAATAAGAGCTTCTGTATTTTTAAGTTTTATTTAAAATGCAAATAAGAGCTTCTGTATTTTTAAGCTTTATTTGATTCCAGTTAGTTAACACAAAGAGTAATATTAGGTTCAGGTGTACAATAAGGTGATTCATCACTTCCACACAACACCCAGTGCTCATCACAAGTTCACTCCTTAATCCTCATCACCTAATACATACCCCCATGTACTTTCATTCTAGTAACCCTCAGTTTGTTCTCTGTAATTAAGAATCTGTTTCTTGGTTTGCCTCTTTCTCTTTTTTTGTCCCTTTGCTTATTCATTTTGCTTCTTAAATTGATATATGAATGAAACAATATGGTATTTTTCTGACTGACTTGTTTCACTCAACATAATATTCTCTATCTCCACCCATGTCATTCCAAAAGGCAAGATTTATTTTTATATGGTTCAGTAATATTCCATTGTGTGTATATAACAGAACTGTTATATATATATGTTTTATATATATATATATAATATGTAAAATGTATGTTACATAATATATAATATATAGGTATGTATATAATTATATATTATATATAACCCATATTCTTTTTCCATTCATCAGTAAGTGGATATTTGGGCTGTTTCTATGAAGTAGCTATTGTAGATAATCCTGCTATAAAAATCAGGATGTATACATCCCATTGAAATAGTATTTTTGTTGTCTTTGGGTAAATATCTAGTAGTTCAATTACTGGATGTTAAGGTAATTAAGAGGAAATAATATCTATTTTTCCTAAACTATTCTAAGAAAAAGAAAAGAAAGTGAAACTTCCCAATTCATTCTGTGAGGCCAACATTATCCTGATAACAAAACAAGATAAAGACACCACTAAAAAATAAATAAAGGCCAATATCCCTGATGAACACGGATGCAAAAATTCTCTACAAAATATTAGTGAAACAAATCCAACAATACATTAAAAAGATCATTCGCCATGACCAAGGAGCATTTATTCCTGAGTTGCAAGGGCGGCTCAATATTCACTATTCAATGTGATACATCACATTAATAAGAAAAAAAACCCAATAAGAACCACTATATGATCCTTTCAAGAGATGCAGAAAAAGCATTTTACAATGCAGAACATCCAATCATGATAAAAACCCTTAACAAAGTAGAGATAAAGGGAACATACCTCAACATCATAAAGGCCATATATGGAAACCCTATAGCTAATATCATCCTCAAGGGGAAAAATCTGAGAGCTTTTCCTCTGTGCTCAAGAACAAGACAGGATGTCCACTCTCACCACTGTTATTTAACACGGCACTAGCCACAAAAATCAGACAACAAAACATAATAAAAAGCATCCAAATTGATAAGGAAGAGGTCAAACATTCACTCTTCTCAGATGTCATGATACCTTAGATTGAAAACCCAAAAGATTACACCAAAAAATTGCTAGAACTGAAAAATGAATTCACCAAAGTCACAGGATACAAAATCAATGTATAGAAATCAGTTACATTTCTATACACCAATAATGAAGCAGCAGAAAGAGATATTAAGGAATTGATACCATTTACAATTAAACCTGAAACCATAAATTACCTAGGAATAAACCTAGCCAAGGAAGTGAATCAACTCTACTCTAAAGGCTATAAAACACTAATGACATAAACTGAAGATGACAAAAGAAGTGGAAAGATCTTCCATATTCATGGATTGGAAGAACAAATATTGTCAGTGTTTATAATAATACTATTCAAAACAATCTACACATTTAATGCAATCCCTGCCAAAATAGAACCAGCATTTTTCACAGAGCTAGAAGAAACAATCCTAAAATTTGCATGGAACCACAAAAGACCCCAAATAACAAAAGCAACTTTGAAAATGAAAAGCAAAGCTGGAGGCATCAGAATTCTGGACTTCAAGTTATATTACAAAGGTGTAGTAACCAAGACAGTATGGTACAGGCACAGAAATAAACACATAGATAAATGGAACAGAATAGAAAACCCAAAAAGAAACCCACATCTATATGGCCAATTAGTCTTCACAAAAAGCAGGAAAGATCATGCAATGGAAAAAAAAGACAGTCTCTTCTATAAGTCATGTTGGGAAAAGTGGAAAGCTACATGCAAAAGAATGAAACTGAACCACTTTCTGACACCATACACAGAAAATAATTCAAATGGATGAAAGACCTAAATGTGAGACAGAAAACCATAAAACTCCTAGAAAAGAACATAAGCAGTAAACTCTTTGACATCAGCTGTAGCAACTTCTTTATATATGTCTCCTGAGGTAAGGGAAACAAAATTGAAAATAAGCTATTGGGACTACATCAAAATAAAAAGCTTCTGCAAAGTGAAGGAAACAATCACAAAAACTAAAAGGCAATCTACTGAATGGGAGGTTTTTGCAAATGGCATATCTGATCAAGGGTTAGTATGCAAAATATATGAAGAACATATAAAACTGAACACCCTACAAATGAGTGATCTAATTTAAAAATGGGCAGAAAACATGGATAGACATTTTTCCAAATAAGACGTCTTATACAGATAGCTGACACACCAAAAAATGCTCAATTTAATGATTATCTGGGGAATTCAAATCAAACTACAATAAGGTATTACCTCACACCTGTCAGAATTACTAAGATCAAAAACACAAGAAACAGCTGTTAGTGAGGATGTGGAGAAAGGGAACACTCTTGCATTGTTGGTGGGAGTGCAAAGTTGTTCAGCCACTCTGAAAAAGAGAATGGAGGTTTCTCAACATGTTATAAGTAGAACTAACTTATGATCCAGCCATTCAACTACTAGGTATTTACCAATAAAATACAAAAATGCTAACTCAAAGGGATACATGCACCCCAATGTTTATAGCAGCATTATCTACCATAGTCAAATCATGGGAGCAGCCCCAGTGTCCATCAGTAGATGAATATAGAAGATGTGGCGCACTCCCCACACACACACACTGGAATATTACTCAGCCATAAAAAATTACCTCTTGACATTTGTAATGACATAGATGGAGCTAAGAGAGTATTACGCTAAGCGAAATAAGTCAGTCAGAGAAAGCAAAATGCCACATGATTTCACTTATATGAGAAATGTAAAAAGACAAAATAGGGGTGCCTGGGTGGCTTAGTCGGTTAAGCGTCCGACTTTCGCTTAGGTCATGATCTCGCGGTTCGTGGGTTCGAGCCCCGCGTCGGGCTCTGTGCTGACTGCCAGCTCAGAGCCTGGAGCCTATTTCAGAGTCTGTGTCTCCCTCTCTCTCTGACCCTCCCCTGCTCACGCTGTCTCTCTCTCTCTCTCTCTCTCTCTCTCTCCTAGAAATAAATAAAAATATTTAAAACAGGTAAAATAAATAAACAAAGATATTTAAAAAAAAGAGAAAGGCAAACCAAGAAACAGACTCTTGACTATAGAGAACTAATGGATACTTACCAGAATGAAGTTGGGTTGGGTGATGGGTTAAATAGGTGATGAGGATTAAGGAGGGCACTTGTGATGAGTACCGGGTGTTGTATGGCAGCACTGAATCACTATATTGTACACCTAAAAATAATATTACACTGTATGTTAACTAACTGGAACCTTTCTTTTAAAATTATTTTTAATGTTTATTTCTTTTTATTATTTTTTTCTAAATTTTTAAAATGTTTATTCATTTTTTGAGAGAGAGTCAGAGACAGAGTGGGGGTGGGGGGCAAAGCAAGAGGGAGACACAGAATCTGAAGCAGGCTCCAGGCTCTGAGCAGTCAGCACAGAGCCTGATGTGGGGCTCAAACTCACAAACCATGAGATCATGATCTGGCTGAAGTAGAACGCTTAACTGACTGAGCCACCCAGGTGTCCCTTTTAATGTTTATTTCTGACAGATAGAGAGACAGAGAGACAGAGAGAATCTGAAGCAGGCTCCAGGCCTGAGCCTTCAGCACAGAGTCTGACACAGGGCTTGAACCCACAAACTGCAAGATCATACCTGAGCTGAAGTCGGACGCTTAACCAACTGGGCCACCTAGGTGCCCTTAACTAACTGGAATTTAAATAAAAGGTTTAAGAAAAACACGGTAGTGAATTTGACAAAGCTATTTCTTTTTTTTTTATTTTTAATGTTTTATTTATTTCTGACAGAGAGAGAGAGAGAGACAGAGTGAGCAAGGGAGGGTCAGAGAGAGAGGGAGATACAGGATCTGAAGCAGGCTCCAGGCTCTGAGCTGGCTGTCAGTACAGAGCCTGATTCGGGGCTCAAACCCACAAACCCACAAATCTAATGAGTCGAAATCATTTCTTTTATTTAAACTAATTATCATAGATCATGACCTGAGCCGAAGTCGAACGCTTAACCTACTGAGCCACCCAGGCGCCCCAAGCTATTTCTATTTAGATTAATGAAAAAGTAAGTGGCTACATTTATGGTTCTACTGGGAAAGTTTTAATGAGTCCAAAATGTGTATAAATATCCATCTCTTGTATACATTCTGAGGTACAGAATTTTTTTTCAGTGTGTGACTCAAATGACATTAATTAAATACAGTACAAAACAACTCTTTGAAAGCAGTCTTGATTTTATATACAATATTTGTAGATGGAGA